ACGTGCCCCCTTTCGATCGCCTCGAGGGGGTTCCTTCAAGGAGGTGTGAATCGATGGGTGGAGACCGGTGTACAAAAAGTTGAAACCAAGTCAACTCTCTTTTGTGGAACAGAGAAATAGATTGAGACGTAATATATTCCGGCCGCTGCCACACGATCGTGTAGATCATAAAATTGCAACATTTCTCGCGAATTCGAAATTTATTTCCATGCAATATTGTAAAACTGCCAAACGCGATAACTTATCTTTCGTTATCCATGTACGAGCGAATTCATAAATATTCACATTGCTGATATTTCGTTAAGTGCAATGTTTCGGCGGCGGCTGCGCGGACACGCTTCGCGATCGAGATAAGCAAAATGTCGTAAAATCCAACAATTGAGATCTTTCCGGTGGCGAATAAAGAAAGTGAAACAGAGTAGCGCGAGATAAGAGGTGACGCCGTGCGTGAACCGCTATCTTCGGGGCTTCATAAATATTTAAGACGCCTGCTTATGATGCCTGTGCTACAGATGCCCGTCGGCGACGTCCAAACGATTTGAATATAATCTATATCGCGATGATATGTCACTTTTACCATCGTAATCTTATCACCTTTTTCACACGTAAGGTGCATAACGACTGCATACGAAAATTTAACAAACTTTTGTGAAAACCCAAAGCAGATCATACGATGATGAAATGCAAATATACTTACACATTGTATATAAGCTATCTTTGTCGTAAAAACGTAAAATCGTCTTGATTCTCACTTTAAGAGTCGAATTTTAATTTGCAGAATTTACATCATTGGATAAGAAAAGTGGAAAATAATGAAAAATATTTTATATATAAAAAAAGTTCTACCGTTTCGATTTTCAGACTTTGAGATATGCAAGTCCGATCCTGTCCACGCAATTATTTCTTCTAACACACTGTCACGGATTTACACGGTTTTAATAACACATTCCCAATTTTAGTCGCGATTTCATCCCCGCAACTTGTCCAAGGGCGAAAGCGCGGTCGCCATTTTTCCCATAAAAAATCCGCCAAGTTCGCGCTTCCTGTTCGCGCGTCTCCGCTCTTCTCGAGAGCGCCAGGAGGAAGCTCCGGAAAAGGGAGTAGAATGCGGGGGTGCGGACCGACACGGTAAAATATATTCCAGTCAACTTCCGTTGGAAATAAATAAGAGTCACGCCACACGGTCTCGCTGCGCCCCGACAACGGCGGCCATTCGTGTGCAGGGGACCTTATCTTTCGATATCTCTCTTTTCCTCTCGCGCCCTAAGCCAAGAGAAGTCCTCGAGAGAAGTTCCGTTCGACGCTCAGCTGCGCCGGAATCAAGCTGAGATTGTAATGTTAGCGTAATTACCTTTTAATTACTGACGTCCGCGTGAACGTGACGTAATCGTGAACTTCCTCTTTCTGCGATCCACGTTAATCTAGCCCTTTTACCATCGCCGAAAAGATCCGAATCTATAAAAAAAATATTAGTATTATTAGCATAATATCAAGCTGATCTATTTTATTTTTTAATAAACTGCACTGCATATTTCATGTTTACACAGTAATTTTATCGTAGAATGCTATGCGATACGTTTAATTGGACTATTATTTTAATTTGTTCTTCCTTTTTCAGGCGAGAAGCCTTTCAAGTGCGATTTCAGTGGCTGTGACCGAAGGTTTGCGAACAGTAGTGATCGTAAGAAACACAGCCACGTTCACACGTCAGACAAGCCTTACAATTGTCGAGTTCCTGGCTGTGACAAGTCCTACACTCATCCAAGTTCTCTACGCAAACACATGAAGGTACGTCATCAAGACAAAGTTAATTACTAATATAGCCCAGTTAAATGAGAACGCACTACTAAGTATTCGCTCCTATTTTTCACACATTTAGTTCGTTTGTTTTACAAGGTGATGTGAAAAATACAACTTTGCATGCACGTCGCAAATTTCTGTGAAATTTTATTTTCTATTTAATAACATTTTTGTTTAATAATATGCTTGAATTTTTTAAAACAAACCAAACATAACAACAAAATCAATATTAACCGCGTTTCTGATTAGCACTATTTCACTTTGTTATGTTTATAGAAAGTGAAGACATTGAAGAAATTGGAGAAGCTTTTCGAGTCATTTAATGCTCTCGAAATAGTCACAGAAGAATCAGCAGACGAAATAAAAAAAGAAAATCATGAATGAGCGCTCTCTATAATATAATTTTTTCACATATCACAGAATCTCCATAAGAAATTATTTTATCGTGAAAAGATAGAAAAAAAGAAATAGAAGATTATCCAAATTTCAAGATACACATATGTAATACATTTGCTTCATCGGGACGCTTTTGCTTCTCTATGGTTTTCGCAGACGTGATTCGCAGAAGACAGTCATCGAGATTTGTTCAGTGAATTATGAAAGAAGAAATCCTTGTTTACATTATTTTATGAAAAAATTTAGTTCTTAGCTTCCTCGGTCAGACTAAAGCGCTATTCTCTTTGCTGACTCTACTGATCTTTGCGATGATATCCAATATAAGCTTTACACGAAACATATAAATCATAGACATATCTTGCACTATCCTGTAAAGTTTTGCCATTATTTTTCAACATCGTAATACAGCCCTGAGAATCCCACCACGTCCATCATTGCCCCATCACTGCAAGGATAAAACTAGCGCTTGATCTATTAATAATTTGTTACTAATAATTGTTACTAATTCATTGCATGATTTAAATCACGATTTTTCACTGTTTTTATGACTTTGATAATGTGTTAATATTTACAGTAGAATTTGCCAAAATTTGAAGCTTTATACATTATTTTAATGTATTACAGTGTAGAATTTGTGTGTAATTTTTAGAAATTGCTAAGACAAAGAAATTGATTGTTCTTTAAATTAAAGAATAATGCTTTTCAAGTTTTTTCACAAAATAATGTAAAAAAAACGCCGTTATTGCCGGCCTTCTTCCAGATTCATGGCGTAAGTGAGAATAAGACGGGAGGATTATACGACAGCGAGGGTGAAGAGACCGACAGTTCCGTGAACACCTCTGAGCACACAGAGCCACCCCAATCACCTGTGGTTGTTCCAACAACGACGACCAATCCACCTCCTACGAATCATCTTCCGACTCGCGGGCCGGAGATGGGGGGATGGTACATTTGTCAGTCAACGACAGTCGCGACTCATAGTCAACCGGGGGCCCTGTCAGCTCCATCGTTGCCACATCACTTCAATCAGCTGAGCTTGCATCATCAAGCGACTGCTTACTAACCAAAATACTAAAGCCCGAAAATAACCGCTTTTCTTCCTCGCCTCGAAACGGAATTCTTTCCTAAAGTTAAGTACAATTTTGAGATGGAAAAAGAGAGCAAGAGAAAATTCAAATAATTGTCATTTGAATTTTCTCTTGCTCTCTTTTTCCATCTCAAAATTGTACTTAACTTTAGGAAATCCTCAAAAATCCTCTCTTTTTCTTCCTTTTTCACCAAAACTTCTATTCTGTTACAAGTGTAAGACCGATACTTGTAACAATGTCGTCAGAATAGAAGTTTTGGTGAAAAAGGAAGAAAAAGAGAGAGGACATTCTTATTCAAACATTCATAAGTTGGAATGTTGTGAATAGAATATTCAACGGAATGCGTAATATTACGTAATATTAGTAAACAATTTTTTTTTAATTTTGAAAAATATAAGCAAGAAAATACATCAGCGCAAGAACATATAAAACGTAACGTATAAGAGATGATCAAAAAGTTTCCGTTCGAAGGCAGTTTAGTACCTAAGACTGTCGGACAAACGGAAGACAAACGGAGACAAACGGAGACAAACGGAGACAAACGGAGACAAACGGAGACAAACGGAAACTTTTTAAACATCCCATATATATTGAGACGTACAGCATTTTTTTTCATATGACAGTGAAAGGATAAAGTCATTTTTATCACATAAAAATATTCTTGAAGATTGGACTAAACACCGAAACATATTGTGACTCAAGATGGAATATTTTTCATCTTGCTTGCTGAGTGACATTAGTGACATTATAAAAGTTGCCTAATATGTCGCACAGTGTAAAACTTATATGCATGCATTTTTTGAGTGTTCATCAAACTCATGCGACTTCAGCCTATATTAATTTGCTATAATAAAGGGACCTCGTCACAAGATAATATTCTTTCCGCGAGCTTACAAAATAAACTTAATAGATAATTACAAAAATAACTTTATGAAATGTAAAAATAATAAGACAGGTAATTATGTGTATAACAATTGGCAACATGTGATGAAAAGGAAGATGACTCACCAAAGGCAAGGCACCAGTTGTTATAAAATTTCCTAATCTATGAAAGAATCTATAGTCATGTCCACATCTTATTGAAATGATAGGCTTGAATGTCGTAAGTCTTTAACAGATGGAACTCTCTAAAGGCCAATCCTCATTAAAGATCGATATTATACGAAATGCCATATCACTGTCACCGTCTTATCAACGTATTGTCAAACTGTATTCTACACATACTAACTATGCAATTGACAAACTAAAATGCAAAAATAGTGCAACTAACAATAAATTCAATTTTGATTATTGATCTAATTTTATAACTTTTTTCAAATTGGCAATATTAATACAAAATTCAATTCAATTAAAATTTAACTATTATCAAAAATTTAGAACAAATGTTTTTTGTACCTTTATTTACAAAATAATTTCGAAAAATGTGATTTAAAGATACCAATATATTATTTTTGGAATGTATGATTTTTCGTGTGGCTAAAAATCTCTTAACTGTGACATCATATTAAATTTAGCTTACAGAGATACGCTTTTTTTCAACTTATAGTGTCACAATATAGAAATTAAAAGATTAGTTAAAATATTTTCGGAAAACCCTTTTTGTATAAACTTTGTCTAGTAAAATTATTTAGTCATAATATACGTATATAATTACATACTTTGTAAATTAATTAATATAGAAAGTATGTTTATTTTTAACGCAATAATTTTTATATACAATAAAATAAAAAGATATATGTAGAATATATATATATATAATATAATAACACTTTTCCTGACTAGTAGTGTCATTTTTTTAACTTGGCCGGAGACACTACCGCGTCTCCTGATACCAAATTATGCTTAATATGCGTAAAATGCAGTTTGACGGCACATTAATATAATTGTGATGGTGACGTGACGTTTCGTCAATATGCATTTCCTCTAAGTTCAAATTAATCTAAAAACGTCATTGAAGTACAGTTATTTAACTTTTAAAATTAATACTGTAGAAAAAATCGATACAAATGATAATGGAGGGCTTCTTAATAAATCTCACTTCTTTTGTTGTTCTTTTTAGTTAAATTTTTGGACATAATATTCATTGTTTTAATTAATTTAACTTTCTTCGGTTTATTAACTATT